TAAACAAACATATTAAAGATTTAAATCAATTTTGCATGTATAGTTATACTGAAGTATATTATCCAATACCATTACTTATTTTTATATGATGATTTGGATAATTAAAATAAGATCATTCAGTATAAATTAGAAGTCTATCAACAAATTACTATATATTGATAATCCATCGTGAATTAATAAGTAAAGTCACTCGCACTTGATAATACTTCTCAACAATTTCATCTCTACTTCTATCACACAATGCTTTAATATTAGTACAAGACTTCCTTCGCATTTCTAAAGGAATATCAGAAGGCTGATCTCTTTCATCAATCTCTGCAGTAATGTCTTCATTAGCATAATAGTTGAATTCTTTATCGGTAAAAGAACGTTGTCAGATAAAATTATGTATAGCCATGGTAGTTTCAACAAGATGATTTTGAATCAAACTTGAAAGATGGCATTGAGCATAAAATTAAAATAATTTTAAATATATAAAAAATCGTAAAAGAAATAGTTAGTTATGTTTAAATTCTAACTCAAAAAGAGTAACTAATTGTTAGCAACACGTAGTGTATAATTTTCTATTTTTAGAAATTTAAATTCAAAAAGAAACTAATTATTACCTAACCTTACTAACTTTGTCTAAAATGCCAAGTGGCCTATTATGAGGCTGCCACTTGACTAAATATGGATGCATTTTCTTCTTCTTTTAATAATATATAGATAGATTATGCAATGCAATTGTAAATTTATTACCTATTTGTAGGTCATTTTCACAAATCAGATCTGATAACTATTTTAAAAATTTGGGAACTAATAACATATAATAGAAGAAATTATAAATAATTATTTGTAGGAAGAGAATTGATAATCCAAAGAAAATGTAGATAATTTGCTTTAGTGTGAAAAGGAAGAAGATAATTTGAAAATTTACGAGACATTACACAAAGAAAAGATCAAAAACAAGAAAAATCAGTAAATTTTTTTGAAAAGTTACGATATAATTCATATATATGATATCTTTAATTTTAATAGGATGGTAAAAGCTAGAACAACAATGAAAA